AAGGTAAGGCAAGGTAAGGTAAGGTAAGGTAGTACAAGGTAAGGTAAGGCAAGGTAAGGTAAGGTAAGGTAGTACAAGGTAAGGTAAGGCAAGGTAAGGTAAGGTAAGGTAGTACAAGGTAAGGTAAAGCAAGGTAGTACAAGGTAAGATAAGGCAAGGTATGGTAAGGTAAGGTAAGGTAAGATAAGGTAGTACAAGGTAAGGTAAGGTAAGGTAGTAAAAGGTAAGGGATGGCAAGGTAAGGTAAGGTAAGATAAGGTAAGGTAAGGTAAGGTAAGGCAAGGTAAGGTAAGGATAGGTAAGGTAAGTTAAGTTAAGGTATGGTAGTAAAAGGTAAGGTAAGGTAAGGCAAGGCAAGGCAAGGCAAGGCAAGGTAAGGTCAGGTCAGGTCAGGTAAGGTAAGGTAAGGTATGGTATGGTATGGTAGTACAAGATAAGGTAAGGTAAGGTAAGGTAAGGTAAGGTAAGGTAAGGTAAGGTAAGGTAAGGTAAGGTAAGGTAAGGTAAGGTATGGTAAGGTAAGGTAAGGCAAGGTATCTTAAGGTAAGGTAAGGTAAGGTAAGGTAAGGTAAGGTAAGGTAAGGTAAGGTAAGGTAAGGTAAGGTAAGGTAAGGTATGGTAAGGTAAGGTATGGTAAGGTAAGGTAAGGTATGGTAAGGTAAGGTATGGTAAGGTAAGGTAAGGTATGGTAAGGTAAGGTGAAATGAAGTAAAGTAAGATAACACAAGGTACGGTAAGACAAGGTAAAATGAAGTAAAGTAAGGTAAGGTAAGGTAAGATAACAGTTTATTCATCTCCACCGAGAGAAAATTACTGCAACATGCTAAATACTTACATGTACACGCACTCATCAACTCTCTCTCTCTCTCTCTCTCTCTTACACACACACACACACACACACACTCTCTCTCACATACACACAGACAGGCACACACACAGACACACACACAGACCACACACACACACACACACACACAGACATACACACACACACACAGACACACACACACACACACTCACCCTGCGTCTCAAAAGACCACATGTGCGTCCCCACACGTCCAAAGCCCACCTGTACCTCGTCAGCGATGGTCACCCCGCCCGCCGTGCGGACCGACCTGTGGGGGCAATGTCAAGGTCACTGAGGAGGGGGGTCAAGGTCACTGAGGAGGGGAGTTCAAGGTCAGGGTGTCAAGGTCACTGAGGAGGGGATGTCAAGGTCAGTCATTTCGTTTCCTTTTCACAGTGTTTTCCCCATTGGAAAATCTATCCATAAAATTCCCAGCTTTCCCTGTTTTCCAGCTGAGTGAGAACCCTCAGGACAACCACTTTTCTCCTCCATAAAGGGCGGCTCATTCGGACATTTTCTACAAACAACGTATATTATATATGGCCCATTTGGACATTTTCTACAACGTATATATTATATATGGCCCATTTGGACAATTTCTACAAACAACGTATATTATATATGGCTCATTTGGACATTTTCTACAAACAACGTATATTATATATGGCCCATTTGGACATTTTCTACAACGTATATATTATATATGGCTCATTTGGACAATTTCTACAAACAACGTATATTATATATGGCTCATTTGGACAATTTCTACAAACAACGTATATTATATATGGCCCATTTGGACAATTTCTACAAACAACGTATATTATATATGGCTCATTT